TTTTATTTATTTTAAAATGTTTTCTATTTTGTGTTTTTCAATCGACCTATTTTATATATTTTTTAAATTTTATTTTTGTCTTCAATAATCATCAAAACAAATATTTTTAATTTATGAAACCATCATCTATTCTTGTTCGCTTAGTTGACATTTTTTAATAGTTGTCGTCCGATTGCATATTTTATTTTATTGAAAACGTACAGATATAATTTCTGAAAAACATTTATCATAATATTAATTGYATATACTATATACTGCATTTTCTACTCCACTGTCACACTTAACATTTGTATTTCGCTATTTTTTATTTAATATAACTTTACATTCCTTATGTAGCACATAATATCTATAATATGACCCGTGCCAATGAATATAATTATTATCTATCCACTTAGCACTTGTTATTTAATGATGCTGAAGTATCTCTGTTCAAATGGTGTCTTAAATAAATAATGGTAGGTAGTCTTGAACGAGTAAATCTCTATTGTATGGTAAAATGTATTAATATGACGAAGCGTATTTCAATTTTTATTTCACCGATAACTGTCCACACACGCATAATACGTCCCCAATAATATAAATGTCATGTTTTGCTTCAGGTGAATTTCGGAAGTTTAGCCGAGAAATCYGGTCTTCAAGTAGGCGACGCCCTAGTCAGGGTCAACAATCAAGATGTTTATGACGTGAAGCACAAGGATGCCCAAGATGTTATCCTGGGAGCTGGAAACGCTTTTGAGGTGACCATACAACGGTAAGGGAAATGTTAACTTTTAATATTCAGTAGGTAAATCCTATATTCTATTGTTGTCGAATCGTGTCGTGTGTATTGTCGCCGAGAAGTTGATCCGTTTTTTTAATCAGAAAAAACAACAATAGCTACCACCATCTACTACATTATATTATGGCTTATAYACGGAATGAAATATATTTTTGATTAGAATCTGAAATATACATTTCCTGGAGTTTTTATTATAAAAATTATAAAAACACAATTATAACAATACAACAGCAGGCTAAAAAGGTTAAATCAGAAATATTGAAACAAAATAATGTAAACAATTATATTTTGAATGTTGGCTATACTTTCATTCATAGTGTAGTAAATTATGTTAAAAAAATGAATAATATTAAGTACCTAACTTAAGAAMTGTATTAACTCGTTACGTGTAATTGAATTTCAAACTCACCTTTTTAGTATGCCTTTAAAAATGTAAGTAAATATTTTTTTGAATCCATTACATAAACTAACATATCTCTTAACTAATCATTAGGACGTCTGGATTTAAATACAGATATAATTTTTCTGAATGTCCATGTCTTAAAACAATGCTTTCCAATCGCAAGGTTCGTTTAATATACAATTCATTTATTTTACATTTTATAAAGTTTCATATTTTCAG